TCTTTCTCCTCCACCTCTTCTCCTTCTTTCTCCTCCACCTCTTCTCCTTCTTTCTCCTCCCCCTTTCCTCCTTCTTTCTCCTCCACCTCTTCTCCTTCTTTCTCCTCCACCTCTTCTCCTTCTTTCTCCTCCACCTCTTCTCCTTCTTCCTCCTCCCCCTCTCCTTCTTCTTCCTCCTCCCCCTCTCCTCCTTCTTCCTCCTCCAGCTCTTCTCCTTCCTCCTCCCCCTCTCCTCCTTCTTCCTCCTCCACCTCTTCTCCTTCTTCCTCCTCCATCTCTTCTCCTTTTTCCTCCTCCACCTCTTCTCCTTTTTCCTCCTCCACCTCTTCTCCTTTTTCCTCCTCCACCTCTTCTCCTTCTTCCTCCTCCACCTCTTCTCCTTCTTCCTCCTCCACCTCTTCTCCTTCTTCCTCTATGCTCCCTCTTCCTACTTTTCTTCTATCATTTCTACTCCTTTCTTACCGACGTAATCGTTTTCGGTGTTTTGCCTCCCCGTCGTCTTCTGCATTTTCGTTTTGTAGTTGAATTATTATTTATTCTTCTTCCAATTCCTTATCTTTCTCTTACTCACCTACTTCTTCTTCTTCTATATTTTATTATTGTATTATATCTCCATTTATCTTCTTCTTACCCTCATTCTGACCTCCTGTTATCCCCGTTCTTATCTTTTTCTCCACCTCTTTCTACTCCTACGTATTTCTTCATAGAGAGGAACAGATCTGCTCTACAGTCCAGGATGAACATTCGACGGCATTCCGCTGTCTCTCAACGGGGACAGCATTACTTTTTGCAGCTCCAGACCCTCCACAATCTATGATCGGGGGTCTTAATTCTAATACCCTTCAATCTGGATTTTAATATATGATGGACATTCGACATCTTGCTTTCTCAAAATGTGACCTAACAACTTTAGTATCTGTGGTTTATTTGATTATCTTCGTTCTGTATCATTTTACCTACTCCATCATGATATCTAACGTAATGATTCTATTCCAATCAAAGTCCAAAGACGTAGTCCCTTTTTTCTTTGAAATTCAAGAAGCATTGAACTATTTTGATAATTTTAGTCGATAATTTCATTTTCTATAATTTGCAGTGGTGTTTCTTAAAACCTGATTTCAATTTGAAAAAAATATACTTGCCAAATCTTTGTCTATCTAGTGTAATTAGATTTCATTGTTGCCTTCACCTCCTCTCTCCCTTCCTCCCGTCCTACTTTCCACCCCCAATGGATCTCTACTCTTACTTTCTGTCAAA